ACTCCATGATTATAATATAATAATGCAAATGCAGAAATTGCAACTTAGAGAATAAATGTTCTTGTCAATGGTAAATGTTGTGCATAAGATCAAAGTCTTTAGATGCACTCACACTGGTTACCATGTCGGAAATGATATTCCAGAATGAATAATGAACATAATAGTAAATTTTTTGAACGGTCGACTAATACAATCTTGCTGTCCTGTCAGTTATACACTGAAGAAAGAGGAAGTTTGTTCAGAAAACACAACATTACTCAAGACAACAAAAGCAAATAACAGTTATTAATTAATATTTTAAAAAATAAAGATGAAAACATTATGAATGATGTGGCAATACACATTTATAGAAGTTTTAATATACAAGAAAATTCAATAAAACTAGGTGCTTCAGAAAATACAAATTAACCAGTTTTTAACCAGCATCTTGTTTTTCTTCCCCGTATTGTTAGTTATTTTTTTTTATGTTTTCAGAATGGATTACTTTGTCCCTTTCATCAAAACCTCAAATATGGGGAACGATAGCAATAAAGATTCTATTCTATTTCTATTCGATTCAATTTTGTTGTCAAAAGTAAAGTTAATTTAAGCTGACCATTTGTACACACTTCATTAGCAGTTTCCAAATCCACACTACTTCTATCGGTAAGTACATTTTCTTGGTACTTTTTTGACCTCTGACAAACTATAGCATCACTTTGAGAATGTGCATTGATACAATTCTCTCAGGCCAACACTCAAGAGCACCCCTACCCCATTGCCACAAACACTCAAAATTGTGGTTTACAGTGCATTTTGGACAAAACCTAGGAACTGAAGGACTGAAACAAACTGTTGTGGGTATAACATTCTCTTTTTTTGACTTTAGTGCAGGGAATTTTTCATTCAGGGTGAATAGATGTTATTGATATTTTTAGTATTTATGTTATAATTTAAAATGTGAAAGCCACTATGATTTAATTGCAAGCACAAATGCAATAACTCATGTTAATTGTGTTTCTTGCAAAACCACAGAATTAATCACAAAATATCCACTTGACCTGAATAAATTATTTACAAATTAAATCATAACAGATCTGGGTTTTTGTTTCTGTTGGAATTTCTTATTGTATAATTCGAGTTATAACGTAACCAGTAAACGCACTCTACAGGTTTTGTTTTGGGATGAAATATTATTTCCTGGGCGGTAATTATATATCTTTGGATTTTTTTTTTACACGTATTCTAGTATATAATTATAAATCCGATCCACAAAATGCAAATTTATTGCACTTCAACTACACTGAAGGAACACAGAATGCTGCTAACACGTGTGAACCATGCTCTGGAATCCACAGATAGTGTTGACTCGAACTGCACAACTAACTCCGTGGTGCTATCAAGGGTATCTTGGATGTCATGACTTTCGTTTAGGCAAAACAGCATAACAGACATGTTGTCTTTTGTTCTGATTACGGCAAATTATGGAAAATGCACCGATATCACTTACCTGCTTGATGTACATAGTGTACCGTGTTTTCTCAGAGAACCAAAAACACGATTCAACTGAAGAAGATCACTCAAGTCGCCAGCTTCGATGAATTTTTAAGCAAAATCGGTCAGAGTAAAGATCTGCGATCGACACCCAGACACAATATGGCGCCCTCTCGGTTGTTTTGTGTTTTGGCGGGAGAAGAAATCCAGACGGAGATAAAGAAGCACCTTTAACAATGCACACCTCGAATCTTCTATACAAATCAAACATCAATGGAATTTTGCCAAAAAATATCATAATAATTCATAGAATAACCACAATTACTTATTCGAAAAGCGCAAATAAGCTCAGGGCAATCTTGATGATGGATAAAATTATTACAGTAAGCATGAATGGGGAACTAGCTCAGATGGTAGAGCGCTCGCTTAGCATGTGAGAGGTACCGGGATCGATGCCCGGGTTCTCCAGATTGGCTTTTGCTTTTTTTTTCTTCTACAGGTTTTTTTTTTTCACATTTATTTCAGTTTAACATGAATTGATGCATCTTTTTTGAAATAACTGTATAATAGTTTATTTTCTATGGCAGAAACAAACTGAACAAAATGAAATCATTAATAATGCTGTTTTGTTACGAGACGTTACTTTGGACAGTTGAATACAATCAGTAATATCCAGTCAAATATCCAATGATTCTCCACATATTTAAGGATCCAGCCACCTTCACGATTTATATTGGTCGACCTCTAACGTTAAACTGACCTATTATGATTTATTTGCTTCAAGAAATCCTAGTTATGCATTTTATGTGGAAAAGTGCATTTTCGCATCCAATTTGTTTGTGTGCCTTGTGTGCATCACCAACTTTCGTAGCAAGCATACCACAGACTCTATTATTATGCGCTATAAATCACCCTTAT